ACAATCCAAATTCAGACCTGTATCAAGCTTGAATATTGTGTCCATTTTTGCCCCAGCTGTTCAGGGTAGTACCTCTGCGGGTGTATCCAGCTCTGCTCAGCGAATCAGTTTATTTCTTAATTAAGAACTCCTTTTTATACGACCGCAAAAACATTTTTGTGGTCGTATATTGGTATGACGTTGGCGTCGTCGTCGTCGTCCGAAGACACATTAGTTTTCGCTCTCTAACTTTAGTTTAAGTGAATGGATCTCAATGAAATTTTAAAATAAGGTTCAATACCACAAAAGGAAAGTTTTTGGGGGTTATGGTACCAACAGTTAAGGAATTAGGGGCCAAAAATAAGCATTTTTGTAACTTCCAGACATAACTTGTGTGTAAGTGTATGGATCTCTCTGACATTGTACCACAAGGTTCCATATCACAAAGGGAATGCTGGGATTGAATTTGGGGGTAATTGCCTCCAAATTTTAGGAATTAGGGGCCAAAAAGGGGCACAAAACAAGCATTTTTCTAGTTTCATGGCAATAACTTGTGTGTAAGTGTATGGATCTTTATGAAATTGTACTACAAGGTTCCATATCACAAAGGGAAAGCTGGAATTGAGTTTGGGGGTAATTGCCCAAAAAGTTTAGGAATAAGGGGCCAAAAATAAGCATTTTTCTAGTTTCCAGACAATAACTTGTGTTCAAGTGTATGGATCTCTCTGAAATTGTACTGCAAGGTACCATACCACAAAGGAAATGCTGAGATTGATTTTGGGGGTAATTGCCTCCAAATTTTAGGAATTAGGGGCCAAAAAGGGGGAAAAAACAAGCATTTTTCTAGTTTCATGACAATAACTTGTGTGTAAGTCTATGGATCTCTCTGACATTGTATCACATGGTTCCATATCACAAAGGGAATGCTGGGATTGATTTTGGGGGTAATTGCCTCCAAATTTTAGGAATTAGGGGCCAAAAAGGGGCAAAAAACAAGCATTTTTCTAGTTTCATGGCAATAACTTGTGTGTAAGTGTATGGATCTTTATCAAATTGTACTACAAGGTTCCATATCACAAAGGGAAAGCTGGGTTTGAGTTTGGGGGTAATTGCCCTAAACGTTTAGGAATTTGGGACCAAAAAGGGGCCAAAAAACAAGCATTTTTCTAGTTTCCAGACAATAACTTGTGTTCAAGTGTATGGATCTATCTGAAATTGTACTGCAAGGTACCGTACCACAAAGGGAAGGCTGGGATTGAGTTTTGGGGTGATGAATCATAAGGGGGTTCAAAAAATTTGGGGGGGGGGGATTCTTTTTCCTTTTTTTCTTTAAAATTTTCCATTTTAAATTGGTTATTTCTGATTTATATATAAAAGCAAATAATAATGATATGGTTTGAATAGGTAAATTAAATTTTTTTAAGTATCTTAGACCACTTTCATTCTGTGTCAGAAACCTATGCTGTGTCAAATATTTAATTACAATCCAAATTCAGTGCTGAATCAAGCTTGAATGTTGTGTTCATACTTGCCCCAACTGTTCAGGGTTCGACCTCTGCGGTCGTATCAAGCTGCGCCCCAGCGGAGCATTTTATTTCATTCATAAATTACTTTATGCTTGGAAATACAATTTTGCTTGGAGTTGAAAGAGTTGACACGTTGCAATGTACATTTACTCTACATAGTTCTATGGTACCAAATCAAAAGTTTATATAAAGAAAGAAGTCAAAGGTTTCCCATCATAGTTTAGTTACATACATTTTTTTTTGTACCTGAGGTCGTTGAATATAGATCATTATATAAATAAGGAGATGTGTTATGATTGCCAATGAAAAAACTAAGGATTTTCTTATCCAAGGAATAGATTACCTTTGCCGTATTTGGCACAACTTTTTGTAATTTTGGGTCCTCAATGCTCTTTACTACTTTGTACTTGTTTGGCTTTGTTACTATTTTGATCTGAACGTCACTGATGAGTCTTATGTAGACGAAACACACGTCTGGCGTATTAAATTATAATCCTGGTACCTTTGATAACTAATTTGACTATAAACATAGATAAAAAAGGTACAAACTGGACATAATGCACTAGTTCATAAACAAGTGAGAACAATCGCCTTCATATAGTGCTCAGAATATGACATTCATAAAACTTATTCAATATCATTAGAGAACTCTAAATCTTAAATACTGAAAGCCACCTGTACTATGCAAGATAATGATATAACTGGACTTAAAATACACACAACCTGTAATTAACTGCCTTTACAGCGCTTTCGTGCTTTGATTGTATTGCTGTATTCATTTATTGTACTGTATATAGAACTAGTTAAGACCAGTTCAAACTTTGCAACCGGCAACTTGAAATTAATAATTTTTATACGACCGCAAAAAATTTTGCGGTCGTATAATGGTATCACGTCGTCGTCGTCAGCGTCGTCCGAAGACATTTGGTTTCCAGACAATAACTTTAGTAAATGTAAATAGAAATCTATGAAATTTAAACACAAGGTTGATAACCACAAAAGGAAGGTTGGGATTGATTTTGGGGGTTATAGGTCCATACAGTTTAGGAATTAGGGGCCAAAAAGGGGCCCACATAAGCAAAAAAGAAATTGTGAAGGGGGAGGGGACAATTTTTTCTCATTTCAGATTTCAGAAATTAAAAAGAAAATTTCTTCAATTTTTTTTTTTTGCAAAAAAAGGGGGGGGGGGGGGGTAAACAAATTTGTTTTTGTTTTTTTTGGGGGGGGGGGGGGGCAATTCGCAACAGCATAGTGTATTGCACAAAAGCAAAACATTGAATGTAAATTCAAATCATATAACCAATTCTAAGTTCTTTGACTACAGTTATTCTGTGTCAGAAACCTATTATGTGTCAAATATTTAATTACAATCCAAATTCAGACCTGTATCAAGCGCGAATATTGTGTCCTTTTTTGCACCAACTGTTCATGGTTGGACCTCTGCGGTCGTATCCAGCTGCGCTCGGCGAAGCAATTTATTTTCTCTGATATTTTATAATCTCTGCCAAACGACTTCGTTTTTGGCAGGGTTGGAAGAAGCATTTTGTTAAAGTTTCATACACAACTATAATGAAGGTGGATTCTGGATAAAATATCAATGTTTTTAAGAGTTTGGGGATATATTCAGGTGTTTCCATCTTTTTGTTGAACCATTTTTGCATTCGAAAATCGAACAATTTTCTTTTTAAGAGGTATCTCAAGAAGCAGTGTTGTCTTCATCAAAAGAAATTACGAGAGTTTACTGTAATGTGTTTCTCTATTCTGTATTTTTATGTGTCTGTTGTTCTATGTTCTATGTTATGTATTTTTATGTGTCTGTTGTTCTATGTTCTATGTTATGTATTTTTCGTGTTTGTTTTTCTATATTTTTTATTTTTTGCCCATTATTCTCTTTTCTGTAAATCCCATATTCACACCCTTAATTATGTGTATATTTTACCGTTATGACTGTCTTGAAGTATAACCCGCGAAAAAGCTTGCGGTATTTTTGATTCGAATGTTATTCATGTAGTATAACATTAAAAAAAGTTTTGTTAATATGTAAACATATAAAAATTACATTGTTTTGTAATGACAACTTTTATGGTATACAAAAACCTGCTGTACATGATAGACAAAAACCTGGTTTTGATTATTGGAAACGGATACCACAGATCCTTTTGTAACTATCATAGTTATAGTAGGACGTCAGTATTGATGTTTTCAAGCGTTTGAATTTGTGATATATTTAGGTATTTCAAACTTGCCGTTGAACCTACTATGCCATGGAAACTCGAAAACGTTTTTGGAGGAGATATCTCCCAAACGTAACTGGTTTCGTTTTCCGCAAAAAAATAATTATGATGGTCTGGAATTAGAGGGGCGTTCCTTCATTTATTTATTTTATATTTTTGAAGTCAATGTCTTTATTTCTTAATTTTTTGCCCAAAATTATTAGTTCTTTATGTCTTAGCACCTCACTTTTTCTGATTCTTTATTTTTTTGCCCTTTTCTGTCCATTTTTGATTTTTTGCCCATAATTGTTTGTTAACCCCATACACACTCTCGATTATGTGTATAAATAGCAAATACTGAACTCCAAAAAAATGAGAAGTCCATAAAAACTGACAAAATCAAAGGCTATCTATCAACGGAACAAGTGAAAAAACAATTGTCATATTCCTGACTTGGTAAGGTATTTTCCGAAGAAAATTGTGGGTTAATCCTTGTTTTATAGCTAGCTTAACCTCCCACTTGTATAACAGTTGTTTATAGTTCCGTTATATTATATCTATTTTTGTTTTGCAGTGTAGCCAGGGAAAATTTTTCGGTATTTTCATATCATTTATCCAATAATTTTATAGGATCGTAAAAGCATTGATCGTGCGCACATTTTTAGTAAAGCGCTTCATACAAAATGTGTTTCGGTCAACGCTTTTACATCCCAATACAATTATAAAAAAAGCATTCAATTCTTTAAACATCGCAAAGAGCACGCATACATGTACAAGATTCAAGACGACTTATTTTTAAAATAAAAAAAAAGAAAAAATGTTTTAACGAATTATATATATACTTTTTACCAGGAACATATATAACTTTGAAATCGTTATATTCTCGTAAAGACAATATTTTGATATTGAAAGTTCAAACGACAATGATCAGACCGGCGTACTCGAAAACTTAGTTCTGGAAGGTAGGTATATTTTTTTGAAATTGTAATATGCATAGGACTAACACATCGACAATTGGTGACTGGAAAGAGCATTATTACTTGTGTTTACATAATTTTCCCATTTGTTTTACAATATGCAGCAAAGAATATTTAACAATTTTAAAATTTAAGTATACCAAGCTTTTAAAGCAACTATTTCTGGCATTAATGATGATGAAAATAAGACATTATGTATGCATCTCGAGATTTGCATGTATATTTCAAATAAAATAGTTTTACATAATCTATAAATTGTAAGATTGACGTTTAAAAATAACTTCTAATCAGAATGGTTTCCGGCGTGAACAAACTATTTGTCACTTTTCAATTGTTGCATCGCGTCATCGGTTTTCCCACTGTAACAAAAACATCTTTCGTATCATAGCTGAAAGCCTGGATATATACGAAATATCAACATAATGTTCAAGTATCTTAGCCAGGTGGGTTTATCAGTTAAAAACACAAATTTGTAATGTTAATTGATCCAAAACGTTACCACCTAAAATGTAAATACATGACATTTTGAAACATGACATGTATCAGACATAATTATGTCGGATGCTATTTATATACTATGCAGTAAACAATCTGTACGTTGTCGGTTTACAATGTAGCTTTATCGTCTAACTCCACACGCTTTTCTATTTTAATATGATCATATGTTGCCATACAGATTTACAACACTACGCACCGCATTTGACATCATAGTCTCAACAACTATATTCCAGTGTTATATTTTGCCGCACACGCAGTATGTCTAGCCAATCCCAAAGATAATGCATATTTCACATGCGTTTCTTCAACATATTTTTGTCATTCTTATTCAAGCAACGTCTCAGTCGTTACAACTTAACTGACGTTCTTTTGTTTAGTTACAGATTTTCCGCATACTACAACATGTAACTGCTCATGTTCAAAACTGTGCAATGTGTTCAAAAAGTTTTGTGCATGTCACACAAATAAAATATGTTATTATTAATACTGTCCATCGCGATATATTAAATGAAGCACACGCTTTGTTGGTTGGATGGATTGATTTAACATTGGAACGTATATACATGTATGAATCCATCATGAGTTTTAAATTTCAGATTTTGATTAAAAAGAAAGAATCCATTTACGAAAAGGCTCTTAGCATAAAATTCACATTTCACAACGTTTTTTTAAATGATCGAATTTATCATTTGAAAACATTTAAACTGTCAAAGTTTGACATTTAATGTATATTTTGCTCTTGTGGTCATATTTTCACCCTTTTAGTACGATGTTGGTGCATCTCATAGCACATATTTTTAGTTGTGCGTTCTATATCTTCACACATTATTGTTATAAAAGTCAATGTCGTTGCTGACATAGTCCATAATAAGCTGAACTAGTTGCCCTCGTATAAAATGTTCTCATACATAGATGTGTCCACTTCATCAATTATTTGTTTGATCTTAATCCAGTATCTTAATCTATTTTTGTTTCTAGTTCCGCACAATATAGGATATAATGTTACAGATTTTCACTTCCTTGTCCACATATTGTACAAAATTTAATTTTGGAGCAACCTTGGCTCTGTTTGCATGTATGTTTGGGTACTTATTCTTGCCTTTATTTTTTCTGCCTTTACATGTCTTGTGTTGTTTTCACACTTTTCCAAATATAATGGGCTTGTTTTTAGAATTCCTGCGGTTCCCTCATTCTGTATTTGTTACCTTGATTTGTCTCTTCCTAATCTATTTACGAAATTTGACCATCGATACACTACTGTCACCTCAATTTAGGAGGTTGTCTTGTATCTCTATATATCTTAACGATGTTTGTTTACATTTTTTCCTGGTGGCATTTATTTTTTCCAGTATTTAGTTACATTATTCCCTTTCATTCTTGGTGATATAAACGCGGATTCTGCTCCTACTAGAGTGTAGACAGCCGTATTTAATGTATTATTTGGCAGTCCCTATATTTGCTTGAATACTTTTGTTTCTTCAAATTCTAGCAATTCTTTGTTCATCGTAAGTAGGTTCATTACCTCTAGCCCATAGATGGATCTTGGTACTGCATGTGTTCACCATCGTTTATACGCTACAACTGGTGGGAATCCCCTTCCTATATGTTAACCAGCTACTAGCAAAAACAATATATATTTGCCCTGCAATTTCTTGTTCTTTCTGATATATCTACCCGGTTTTGCTCATTTTTATCTATGCCAAGGTGTTTGGTCTCTTGTGTTCTATTGATGGCATCTTCTTCAAAAGTTAATTTTGTTACATTTAGGCTTTATGTGTTGTGTTATAAAGCTTCATATTTATTTGGGTAGATTTTCACTAGGTACCTTTTTGTGTGGTACTGTATACTTAACTCAGAGTGCCTTATGCATCGTCTATGTTATTTGCAAGGACATCAATGTCATCTATACTTGTAGATACTGGAATTGGTATATCACCAATACTTGCTCCAGGCCCCTTTTTCAATACTATCCAGTATTACATTCTTATAAAATTTATAAAGGGTAGTTTATAATTTTGCGCCTTGTTGTATTTCTTGCAAAACACTAACCTCCTCGTACTATTTTAATACTCATGTCTCTATTCAGCTTTCGAGGAAGTACCAACAGTTTCCCTTATATTCCTCAATGGTACATCTAATTGAATTATTTATTTTTAAATTCATGTCTCAGTTTATCAGATGTTTTTTTACATTGAGGGTAATGAAGATCATGAAGATCATGAATACCTTCAGTTTCTTACATTCTACACCTGCTTCTGATGTGACAGATGCTGGCAAGGACATAAAGAGGATATTCCATTTGTAAATCCTTTTTTCAGACAGTTTTGAAGGATTTTAATTTCAGTATCAACTCTAGTTTTGAGTATACTTTGGTATTGGTGGCCTTAAGCTGTTTTCTGCTCTTTGGTCGAGTTGTTGTTTCTTTGACACATTCCCCGTTTCATTCTCAATTTTATTTGCAATATTTTTGCAAACGTGTTTTAACGAGTATTCCACTATAGCTAGCAGGGTTTGTCTAATTATTTTCCTTTTATCGGATTGGTGTATGATCCCAGATTCATTGAACATTTGAACATTCAAACATGTTTGAATTATATTATGCATATGTACAATAAAGGGAGTTAACTAATCCATCACATACTTAAAAGTGTTCAGTTGATATTCCGTTTCCATCGGGTGCGTTTCCTGCTTTAAGTTTTAATATGGCTATATGACAGTAACATGATCAATACAACCTGCCTGACTTACTTTGACAGTGACACTTACCATAACATGTAAAGCTCATCAAATGCCCTCAAGGTACCAGGCCGACCATAAAGACAGTCAAGCTAGATAAACACTCCCGTCATCATCGTTCCATCATTCTCTCACTGGCTAGCGTCGAATGAAGAGTTCCAAGAAGCCTGACAAAGAGGTACGATCAGAAGTTATGCTCGTTGATTGAGAAAGTGTGTCAAACATACAGTGACAAAATCGGCAATAACAATTATCATCGTTTGAAACCACACATAAGAAAAATAAAAATAAAACAGGACTCCAAGGACATGGAACGAGATGATAATGACAATAGATGTATTCAATACTACAAAATTTAGAATTACACGACCCCGGTCCCACCGTACGAGTACTTTTGATATCAGATCAATTGATATTTTGATTTTCTCCATTACGAAAGAACGGAGTCGACGTAAAAAAACTCAGTTGGATAAAGCTTATAGTTACACTGTGTCCTTTTGACTCCAACACCTTGTTAAACGAACGTATATCAGAATGCTTAGAACACGACATCGAATCTCAATGAGAGACCTGGGAATGGAGGGACATTCTGTTGATGGTAAAATTTACCCTCGACTCAGCACCTTTTAGGAAGAGTAGAAAATGGATCACGATCTACTTGGTGCATAATTAACCTACAAGGAAAGCATTATTACATAAGAAGATGGTACAGACTACCTGACGCTGCAGCTGATAATATTTATTTTTTTAATGACAAACTGGATAAAATTAGACATATAGAAAAATCCATCAACAGCCATTCATACATGTACTAGACGATTTCAACTATCACAAAACAAAATCTAGACCTGAAAGACCATACTATCAGTACTCAAATGTTGACTACAATCAAAAGAAGAAGGAAACTATAAAGTCCATCAGTGACAAATATTTCAATGGTCATCAAAACAACAGATCTATAGAGGAAAATAGGAAATTATTAAAACCTTCATTTTGGAAACATCTGGAAAAAACATTCCCAAAGAAAATACTAACCAGTCACTACCATGGATTAATAACAACAGTTAGACCAGGACGAGAAAACATACAGGACACATACAAACTACAAGGAGGTTTACAGCAGTAGATTAAAAAGAAAATGGCAGGAACTTATGCGATTTGTAAACAAGGAATTAAGTAACTGAGGCAAACAACACCTTTGTTTACAACCTTACAGGGAATATCAACAAGTACTCTAAAACATTTTGGAAGTACTTAAACATCCAAAACGCTGTGTAACAAAGACATTTCACTTTTACTAACTAACGAAAAAAAAGTTGCAGAAACAGAGAAACGACTGAGACATAAGATCTAAGAACAATTATATACCACACCAGGTGTCACAAGTCGATAACACGAGAAAAATCACACTCACCAAAAAGGGTTAAAAAAGATACTAAAAGGTTTAAATATTGCAAAAGCCAAAATATTCACCCAAGAGTGCTGAAAGAGTTGGCAACTGAATTCTTGGAGGTTATTGCTTACTTTTTGTTAGCAATCTATCTTATTATCGTTTATGATATGGCATAGCCACATTCCCGTCCTATTATAGTTAATGGCATAGCCATATTCTCGTCCTTCTATTATCGTTTATGGCATTGCCACACTCCCATCCTCCTATTATCATTTAAAGCAAAGCCATATTCCCGTCCTTCTATTATCGTTATGGCGTAGCCGTATATCCGTACTCCTTTTATCATTTATGACATAGCCATATTCCCATCCTCTTATTATCGTTTATAGCATTGCCACATTCCCGTCCTCCTATAATCGTTTATGACATATCCACATTCCTGTCCTATTATCGTTATGGCATAGCCACATTCCTGTCCTATTATCATTTATGGCTATCACCGAATGCGACTGTAAGACGTGGTTTTGGTTTTGATCAGCTAATGCCCTGTTGCTCCGTTGACGTGTAACCAGAATCTCAAAAGAATGAGCAAAGCCACCGTATAGGAAATAATGAAACAAACATGATTCATTATTACATTTTTAGTCCCCTACCGACGAAGTCGAAGGGGACTTTAGGATTGCACTCCGTCTGTCTGTCCGTCTGTCTGTCCATCTGTTAGTCCGGCAAATCAGTTTTCCAGACTTTTTTTCTTCGTGCTTGAAGATATTGATTTGATATTTGGTTTGTTGTTTTATCATGACAAGTTACAGGTCAAGTTCAATTTTCACGATTTTAACTTTTCTCTTTTTTCAGTTAAAGCCCTTTTCCTACAATTAAATTTTTGATGAAATACTTATTAATTAGTAGATTTTTGTTCAACGGGAAATAACTCATTTTTTAAAAATGACATTTTGGATTTTTTTCCATTTCTTTGGTAAATTGTTTGAAGAATTTAGTGGTAGGTTTGTTTGTCATTCTTGAAGATATTGATTTGATAATTAGTATATAGTTTTATCATGACAATTACAGATCAAATTGGAAATTTGTTCCGGTATGATGATTTTGTGCAGAGTTATGGTCTTTGGACATAGAAAATTCACTTAAATAATCAGTTTTCAACAGTTTTTTTCGTCATGCTTGAATATTTTGACTTGATATTTTTGTGTAGTTTACTACATGACAAGTTATAGATTAAGTTAGAATTTTGTTCCAATACAAGGAATTTTTAACCGGTAGGGGACTATGTATTGCCATGCAATACTCACAGAATGCTTGTTTAATTTGTAATAACATTGTGAATTCGTAATAACATTGTGAAATTGTGATTACGTATTAACTGTAATATTTAAGGTATAGAACCACTAATTCAGGCCCGGTCGGAAAGAACATACAAGAAAGTAGTACATATTGTAAACAAAATAGTTCCTACGCATAGCTGTATCTTTGTCAATAGTTGGAATATTTGGGTAGTTTTAGTATCAAATGAAAGCTTGGGGACTTGGGATCACTGTAGAACCCTTATTGAAAGTTTTATTTGAATAATAAAGAAGTATATGAAATTTTAATAGGAGGGCTCATTTGGCCTGTTGTTCAGATCAGAAGTTCCTGTTTTTGTACTATCAAACTTCCGGGAACCAGTACGCTCTAATATGCAATTAAAGGTATGTTGATTTTTTCAGCACAAGTCAGGATAAGGTACAGTTTTGACATGAAATAACTGCCACTTTATTTGAACTTAAGACAAAGTAGCCATTAATGCTTGAATTTGCAGAATTTAACATAGAAAGCAATGGGGCTATGAATTAGTGGTTTTATACCTTAACAATGGATTAAAAATGTTTTAATGTGTTATCACAGATTCGTTTTGATATTAAGATTTTTGCTTCTCATCACGTTGCAATGCTATTAGTTTCATGCGATATTCACGACATTTTGAAATTATTTCATAAAAAATATCGGTTCTGATTGGTTGTCTCATGATGTGGCAAATTTTTTATTGGCTAGAATGATACATAGAATTGTAAACATTGCACTGAAGAATATATTAAGTACGGGAGATAAGGAATACATTCACAGTATGGGTACTCAAGACCCGATTAAGAATAACAAGCATAGGTTCATGTTGACATAATTTATGATATTGCTAATAAACTCATCAAGCAAAATTCAACCAATCAATCAATCGAGACCTCATTCTTAATCAGGTATTAATATTTTCTGTGTATGTGATGGTCCGATTTTTTTTTTTTTTATAAAATACTTTCCATGACTGCCCTTGAAGGATCATTGTGGTACTATCTTATTACAGAACACGAACATTTTACTTGGAGTTGGCACATATAGCGGAAATTCTGAAAACCAGTAACTGTTTGCTTCATTAATTTTGATCAAGCTTAATGGCAACACTTTCACAAGAAGAGGAAAACTATGTAAGAATCAACTTTTTGCTGACGGGAATTTCGCCAACTGCAGTGCGTATATATTTTGACAACGAATTTCACCCATCTTGTTTATACACTTCAATTAAAAAGGAAACCAACAAGCTGCTTGATCTGAAAAAGAAAAGAGTTATAAATCAAGCCCAGTGGGATCTTCTTTACCCCAGAGGAAGCAGTAAGTAATTTATTTTTTATGTATGACAAAACCAAGGAGAGGTTTGTTTGTATTTGCCATTATATATTTATATGGAGCTATGCTCTTTCAGAACGATAAGTTTTTCTGTCGACGAAGCAACCCGGGCGAAACCAAGTTTCGCTTATCTAGATGTCTTTTTAAAAGTTTTATTTCGATTGGTGGCTGTCTTATCTTTTATTCATATTGCAAAAATGCTTTTCAATGGCATACAAAATTTAAATCATTCAAACGATATAAAAATGTAACATTTCGTATTTCAGGTAGCATCATGTTCGCCAATTTTTCCTGCGTTCAATATTACGGCAATTCAAACTAGATTTGAGTTCTTTTTTATCACTATCTTTTTAAAGGTACTCCGAGTTCCAAACAGTTCGATGTAACATTAATGATAACCTTAATAAGACATCTTACCAACATTAAACAACCAGGACTTGGATATGAAAAGCTTCCTCAGCCGACGGAAACCACAACTGGGGATGATTTGGCAAGAATTAAATATTACAGAAATCATATAGCACATTTAGACAATGCTACATTGGACAGCCGATCCTTTACCAATGCATGGGACGACATATCTGATGTATGTTTATCATAATACCTCCTTGTTTTTTAAATACTACGCTACGAATTGTGCATGGGTTATTGTCTTTTACCAGTTCAACAGTCAGATAGTCAACCAGTCCGTCAGCCCTTTATAATAATAATAATAAGAACTCGCATTCTGAATTTACAGTACCTCAAAGGTAAAGTCAAAGTTAAAAGTTAAACAGGTCTTGTTTTAGTTGCCCGAAACTTGACATTAACCATACTATAATCCGGATTAATTCCTGTGCAACCATGCCAGAAATTGGGAATGGATGCGTTATTGAGATAGCACTTTGTAACAAAAGCATAACAATGCTATTACTTAGAGGGTTAAATCCCCAATAATGAATAGTAAGTAAACTGTAAGTATAGGAACCATTTGAAATGCAATGAAATGATAAAGGCGATATGTTGGCATTTGCAATGAAATACTTGCAGTAGTGTAAAACAATATGATGCAAACAAATGAGGTTCATTATGGTTTTGGAAAACTTTAATCCAAATGTTAAGACTTGAATTAATTGCAAATTAATATAAAAGTAAGGTGATTTGGTATGAATGTCATGGAGATAAGTTTAATTAGCCACCCAAAAGGATGTAGATACATTTGATTTAAAAATTCCCACATGATATATGTGTATCTGCCTATCGCAATTCCGGATCCTCGACAGACAGTACTGGTTATTTGTTAAATCGTGATTTTTTAAAAGACGTTTGGATATTGGCAGATATTTGATAGTCTCTGGCAGTTTAATAACACATTGGTGCTAAAAGAGCATGAACAATTGTATAAATACTCTTCTGCTGTTGAAGACCGTATGTAAATGTCTAGATGTTATTAGTGTTGCTGTCTTATTGACCTACTCCCAACATCTATTCAAATTTAAATGCAGTATATTGTATTGACGAAAGAAAAATAAACTATTATTATACGCCCACTCTATATTGCAGTCACATTGTCCGTCCATTCGACCGACAGACTTTTTCTCAAGTACTATTAATCAAAATAACATGATATTTGGTCAGCAGTTTGACAGTGATGAGTAGTCACTTATGAGCGCTTTTTGGATCTATAGAAGATATGCAAGTCCTGCTTTACGGTTCTCTTATTACGAGCGAAGTACAACATCGTTTCCACTTTCTTGATTGAATAAACTATAATGGAAACAAGAACTATAACCAATCTTTAAAAAAAGTTTCTTCATTAAAAATCATTAGTCCATCCAGATTTTGATTAGATAAAATTGAGAATGGAAACGGGGAATGTGTCAAAGGGACAACAACCCGACCAAAGAGCAGAAAACAGCCCAAGGCTACCAATGGTCGTCAACACAGCGAGAAAATCCCTCACCCGGAGAAGGCCTTCAGCTGGCCCCTAAACAAAAATGTATACTAGTTCAACAAAAATGGACGTCACAATAAACTCCGAAACATATAAATGAACTAAAGAAATAAAAAAAAAATAATACAAGACTAACAAAGGCCAGAGGTTCCTGACTTGGGACAGGCGCAAAAATGCGGCGGGATTAAACATGTTTTGTGAGATCCCAACCCTCCCCCTATATCTCTAGCCAATGTAGAATAAACAAATACTCAGCAATAGATACTTTTGACAAACATTTTCCTTTTATGTGTCTGTACCATTACTGCTACAATTTCATAATTAGAATAATATCAGAACGTGATTATTATCATATATTGTTATACAGGCTGTAGGTAGATTGGGAGGTAAAGTACTGCTTGAGGAGTGCAACAGTTTAAGAACTAAAACTCTTGATCAATCGAACCAAGAGATCATTAAGGAAATGAAACAAGCAAGTAAGGAGATGCAAGAAGTAAAACGTGAAGTTGAATCTTTGAAAATGTCGTTCGATTCCCTGACGGTAAACTATACCAATCTCAATAATAACCATAAGGAACTAATTGAGGATTATGGTACTTTACGAAACGACCACGAGAGAATGAATAATACAGTAATTGAATTAAGACAGACATATGATGATACACTGCCACGGGGTTTAAGAGGTAATTCTATAAGAAAATCTTGCATATTGAAGACATTTATTTTTCTAAACATATGAAACCGATCACAGTGCGCACAACACATGCGTCGTACAACTCTCATCTTGTTAATCCAAAGACCTTGAATTGATACAATTCATTCAAAGGAATCGATACTCATACTGCATAATATAGCTTTTATTTTTTATTTTTTATGTGTAAATGGACTAAATGAGTCAACAATAAAAAAAAAATGATTGTATACGTAACATTTAGCTTTCGTGGTAAGGTCATTTTCTCAGATACTATAAGCAATACGTCAACTATATTTGGTGTATGGAATGATTGTAAGATGTCCATGTCTATGTCGCATGATTCTTCTAACCTTGACCTCAGTTTCGTGATTCATTAGTCAAATAAGTCAAAGTTAAGTTTTCTATGGTTAGGTCTGTTTCTAATATACTTTTAGCAATACTTCAAATGTATTTGGGGAATGAATTGACGGTAAGATGAACCTATTTTTTTTTAAATCAACCCCTAAATGTTCCAACGATCTTTAAAAATCTCAAAAACGGTATGGATATAGACATTATTGTTTAGTACTATACCTTGACGTTCAGAATGTTTGTAGCGGAGTATTTTAATCTTTTTTAGTATTGAGGAGTTTACCTCAAACGGGAATGTGAAGACATATTAGTTTCTGTTCCATTGGCGTTTAGTGGATAATTGACTTATTGGTTTAATGTTGAATAATTTACTACTGATACTAGAAGGACTGCTTCATACCTTGAACTTTTCCTCAATATTGACACAGATGGACGACTTCACACAAAAATCCATGACAAACGGGACGATTTCAACTTCCCAATTATCAATTTCCCATTTCTCAGCAGTAACATACCTTCTGCCCCATCGTATGGTGTTTACATATCTCAGTTCATACGTTATGCTCGTGCATGTTCACACTATAATGACTTCATATACGGGAGTGTGCTCCTTACGCAGAAACTGCTCAAACAGAGTTATGAGGAGGAAAGATTAAAAATGACTCTCCGTAAATTTTATGGACACCTTCACGATTTTATTGATCTATACGATGTGTCTGTGTTTAAACTAACTAACGACATTTTTTTAATTTTTACCACGTCTTGGATTGTGGTTTACCATCTTCGTCGTCTGGTCTGCTAAGTACCGAACGTGACCTATTCCCGAATATGACTGTTTTCCCGAGTGTGAATTCGCATTGCTATTAGACGTGTCTCGGTATTTATAAATACATCCAACATTCATGTATTTAGTTATGATGTTTCGTTTGTAATTCTGGTTAGATAATGTGCTATGTCTTATCGTTTGTGGTTTGAATTTTATTTTTATTTTCTACATGTTTGTAAAAGTTAAGATAGTTCATTTATATGACGTTTAGTTTAAAGTTACTATATGCACAGGATTTATTTTGTTTTCCAGTTTTGATATAGAAGAAAAACCGACATGGTTAGAATTTACAAATAATTACACCATTACTAACACAATTCTATATTACTATTCTTGTAATAGTTAGAAAATACACAAAATAACACCATTACAAACGTAATCCCAATTTCATATTCTAATTTTAGAAATTTACCTGTGACGTCACTTTTTGTGGCGTTGATACTATAAGTTATCTACGTCCATATCTACGGATCCCCGGTCTTAGTCCAAATCTGTTGATTTTTAGAGAAATTCGACCACAAAGTGTAACGTGAAAGCAACGTTTTTTTCATTTTCTAAAAATCTTTTATTGAAATTTGGAAATTTGACATATCTTTTACGGGGTGTAGGGCACTACCCCTACAGGTAGTCAAATATAAGACGTTTTTAATACGGAGACGGAGAAACTGGAGTGGCTCGAATTTGGCGCTCAATGTTGTGAGAGTTACATCATAGACGGTGTGACGTCAACATGGGTCATTTGCATAGCTAGGTCAGTAGTCCCATTCACATGTCATGGACAATGTGGCAGCCAAGTGATGCATTTACTAAAATGAGTGCAAATGATCGACAAAATAAGATAACATCGTTAGTGGATTAAATATTTAATTACAGACATCATGAATAATCTACAGAATTCTATATTTCACAAAGAACAACCATGGAACTAAGGAAAACGCGCGTGACGTCCCCCGGGGTAATGGATAGTAACGTCCGGGTATATGGGTTAGCAACACCCAGGGCTATGGGTTTTGTAACGACGTGCGTTATCCAATCAAAATCCTAGAAACATACTAAGCCGGGGATAAAATCGTGTGACGGACAGTTCGTGACTCTATTGTGGTGTAAATGGGAGGTTATTCTGTGGTTTACATGTTGTAATGTACTATCATATTATTTATTTATGCATGTCTCTGTCCTGAGTGTTCTTGTGTTTAGTTGTAAAGTATTCCTGTCAGGTAATGTTGTCATTTTAGCGGTATTTTTAACATTGCCATATAAGCAGGAGGTTTGGCTAGCCATAAAACCAGGTTCAACCCACAATTTTTTCTTAAAATATCCTGTACCAAGTCAGGAATATGGCAGTTGTTATCAAATAGTCCGTTTTCTATGTTTGTTGGCGTTTGTTTTTGTAGCAGTTTAGTGTTCATGTTGTTCCGTTGTTTTCCTCTTATAGTTATTGTGTTTGCCTCGGTTTTAGTTCGTGACCCGGATTTGTTTCAGTTAAATTGATTTATGACTATTGAACAGCGGTATACTACTGTTGCCTTTATTTGTCAAGTGTCTTAAACTTTTTCATAGTTGTTGTGAACATTTAATGAGTAAAATATTGTACATCTTGAGTGCTTGTTTTCCTAAGGTCTACTAACAAATATTTCAACTACAAAATACATGAGGAACAAACTAAATCAGTTAGGTAGGTACTAAAATGGGTAGGTTGACAAATCAGAGGTCAAGTACTTCTTTTTGTTTTACACTTGATAATGAACCTTTCTTGCAGTTTATATTCTGTAAATTCGAAGGCATGTCATGACATTTTATATGCCCCCGCAACATAATATCGGATGTATATTGTTTTAAAGCTGTCCGTACGTTCTATATATCTAGGTCAGGGCCATATAGTTTTACCATTATCCGTCATTCCGTCATTCAGCAGCGAATATAACTTTTGTTCTAAACGCCTTCACATATTGAGCTGATTTTGAGTATGTGAGTGTACTATGATGAGTTATAAATCAAGTTTATGTTCTGCTCCGCTGATTTTTGCCGAAATTAAAGGCTTTGGACTTTGACAACTATGTGAAAATAACAGTTATTCGTTTTTTTTCTAAACGCCTTCACACATTTAGCTGATGTTTAGCATATGTGTCAAATATGATGAGTTATATACAGGTCGAGTTAACGAACGGTTCCGGAGCTGACTTTGCCGAAATTGCTGGCTTTGGACTTTTGATTATTTCGTGAAAATAACAGTTATACGGACTTTTAATCCAAATGAATTATTGAGCTGGATTTTGGTATGAGATTCTACTATGACGAGTTATAGATTGTGTTTACATTTGGTTCTGCTCAGCAGATTTTTGCCGAAATTACGGGATTTGGACTTTTCGTGTAATAACAGTTATACGGACTTTCATTCTATAATTTCCACTCTTAAAATGGCTTCAAGTTTTTTTTTGCGAGCGGAGTCATTCGTGTCGTTCCGACACATCTAGTTTTTTGTTAAATATATCATGTTTATAACGTTAATACTTGGTGTATTTGGCCTAAACATATCTAGTTTGTTTGTTAAATATATCATGTTAATTACGTTGATACTTGGTATATTTGGCCCAAACAACGTAACACAATTATGTTTTTTAAACGAATTTTATTCATTTACAGACAAAACTACAATTGACAAAACTTTTAAATAATAAAAACTGGTCAACCTCTTATATCCTCAATATAAATTTTCTGCTGTAGAGTACTAACTAAACTTTATATTTCAGCAAAAACAAAGCGAACGTTTGAATATTGGGTGGAAGATGCTAAGATGCACGTAGAAACGCGGGCGGACAAACACATTTTCGAATGTATAACAAGAAACCAGTGTGTTCTAGTCACGGGTAGTTTTGGTATAGGAAAAACTTCAACCATTAGATATGTAGCTCTTCGAATGAATGACAGTGGTTACGACGTTATTCCTGTCATAGATGATCCGAGTGATATCTTGAACTTTTACAATCCAAATCAAAGAACTGTATTTGTAATTGACGACTTCTGTGGTAAATATACGTTGATACCTAGTCAGTTCGAAAGATGGAAAACGTTAACAGATGATTTATTATCCATATTACAGGACGGAAATTGCAAGATCATTGCATCATGCAGATTACAAGTGTACAATGATTCAAAGTTCACAGCATTGTCTCTTTTTAAAAATTGTATATGTAACCTGATGTCGGACGAGCTATCTTTGACACACACGGAGACAAATGAAATTACTTACTTATTTTTAAGATCTGACTCGTCTAAGATTTATAAATTGCATAACATATTCAATTTTTTCCCACTTTTGTGTAAAAAATTTCATGATAATCCAACATCCGACATCACACAAGTCTTTACGAATCCTACGCCGGTCCTTGAAACTGAAATTAATCAATTACAGAAAGGAAGAGTGTATGGCAAATATTGTGCTTTAGCCCTTTGTGTCAAATTTAAGAATAGTTTACCCGTTGAACATTTGACAGGCGATATAGATAGGGAGACCAGAAGCAATTTCAAGAACATGTGCGAGAAATGCAATTTAGATAGAGGAACATCACGGCTGTTACTGAAAGATGAGTTAGATTCATTAATTGATACATTCTTGATTAATGACCATGGATGTTATCGGTTCCAGCATGAACAATATTTTGAATTCTTTCGGTGTTATTTTAATAATATATAAGTAATATATAAATTCGGATTAATTATTACTCTGACAACAATTTACTCAGACAATAATTTTACAAAGAAACCACAACGTTAATTATGTCTTGATTACTTGATGATAACACCCGAGAAAATAGAAAAGGCAATAAAAGGTTTAAGAATTCTAAATCAATTTGATGTAATAGTTATACACCGAGGGATAGGTGTGTCTGGAAAAGAAACCCCGACGGCCGGAGGCCGGAGGGGTTTCTTATCCAGACACGCCGTATCCCGAGGTGTATAACTAACTTACACCCAATGCTAAACCCTATATTTGTTAACATTGATTATTAAATGAAAAAGAACGGATAGCATATTTATTGACAAAGTCAAACCATGATTTATAAGAAAAATTTTTTTTTTTACATGAAACCCCATAAGTAATCTTACTTTGGCTATTTTTCGTTCAAACTTTGACAAGTGAGTAGATTTTACAAATGTCAAAGTTGCTGTTTTGCATATTCCCGTTAAATCCTGGTGCTAACGGATCAGCAGTTCAAGGTTGACCGTTTCGTGCATTCTTATTACAAAAAAAAATACATCATGCTCCTTGTATGCAGTTGTCAATATGGACGGGTATAAGACGGACGACATTTTGAGTCAAGCGTTGGATTAAGAAGAAGAGACTAAAGATAAAGGCAATAGTATAACCCAAAATACTTACCTGTATCAGTTTAATGAAGGTAATCATAAATGTATTTTTATGTTACGGCTTTATAAAAAAAAAAGCCCCCCCCCCTCTTCTCGAGAATAAGCAGACATTGATGAGGGATAGGTGTGTCTGGATTAAAAACTCGACCATCGGACACGTTCAACATACAAAAATACAAATTGAATATTTAGGAACTCCCTTTCTGGGGCAATCCAGGAGGGGGGGGGGGGGGGGGGTCTGGGAGTTAGAATCCCCGATTGTTTTAAAGATCAACGCTTTAGAATAGAGACATATGACTGGGATCAAAAATGTTACCTTCAAGCAAAGGAGTATTAAGGGAGCAACCATTTTAACTTCAAGTGGGTGGGGGGGGGGGGGGGGGGAGGGGGGTATGGTTTTTTGCGAACAAGTTTATCTAGTTTTTCAACGCTATCAATCAAATTAGTTTTCCCTTAAAGGATTTTTTTTTCATTCAAAACAGATGCTTAATATTTATTCGCTATTGGAATTTCCTAAAATGTGTTTTTTTAATATCTTGAAACAACTTGTAGTGAACACTATTAGTAATTTCTTATGTTAATGCTATTTAAAAAATAATCAATTTCTATTGTAATGAATAACACTGGACTTTGTTTTCGGGATGTAGAAGCAGGGGTTTCCAGAAACCCCGCTCGTCACACCCTGTGGTCAAAATCCATTGTTATTCGTAACAATAGATCTATTCAATTTACACTTGTTTCAGAAATTGAAACTATGAAGTATAACAATAGAACTGGGGTGTAATTAGTATGATCTCGAATGAGATCATAAAAAATAGTCAAGCTGTTTGCATCCCTTTAATACAAAAACTCTTTAATTTAGTATTTTCAAGTAGTATTTACCTAAAATTATGAGGTCAAAACTTTATCACCCCCATAACACAAGTCTGGCTATAAACATGATCGAGCAAAATACAAGGACATAACCATTGCAGATAACATAGGCAAGTTATTTAATCTAATTCTAAATAACAGGTTGACAAAATTTAAAAAAAACTAGAGATATAATTAGAAGTTAGCAAATTGGTTTTACTAAAGTATGTCGCACAACATACCATATCTTTGTGTTAAATACCATCATTCAAAAATTTAAGAAAAATAATTCAAAGCCTCTATATATATAAAAATAAGAAGATGTGGTATGATTGTCAATGAGACAACTCTCCACAAGAGACCAATTGACACAGAAATTAACAACTATAGGTCACCGTACGGCCTTCAACAATGAGCAAAGCCCATACCGCATAGTCAGCTATAAAAGGCCTCGAAATAACAAATGTAAAACAATTCAAATGAGAAAACTAACGGCCTAATTTATGAATAAAATAATGAACGAAAAACAAGTATGTAACACAGCAACAAACGACAACCACTTCATTACAGGCTCCTGAATTGGGACATGCACATACAGAATGGGTTCAACTCGTTTGAAGGCGCGAACCCTCCCCCTAACCTAGTACAGTGGTGTAACAGTACAACATAAGAACAAACTATAAAAATCAGTTGAAAAAGGCTTAACTCATCAGATGGATACAAATAGAAATACATCTAAAAAACACAGACTGGACGTGGACGGGTACTTATACATCCACAAAACAGAACGACTCTAAGTACAGATCTGAGAATACTCGCAGTTACTGAAAGCCAATAACAACTAATGAAAAAAATCATGCATCTAAGACTAAAACATTAATCAGTACACATCCAACACCCAATGGATTTATTGTAAAGACACCATAAACAGTCAGAGAAAAACATGACCTTGTGCAATGCCAAGATGCAGGTATCGACAGATTGTATGCATGCTTTGTAGATTTTAAGCGTGCATCTGATTCAGTTTTACATCGCCACATTTTTTTATAAACTTAAATGTATAGGTGTTGGAACAAAGTTTTATGACATTATAAAATGTATGTATGGAAACACATAAACCTGTGTAAAAATAGACCAACACAGGACAAACCTATTTAAATAAAATATTTGTCCCTGTCTCTTTAACATGTATTTAAATGATTTGCCAACCTATATTTTTACCAAACATGTGATCCAATCCCATTGAACACACACCCCTTAAATATTTTAATGTATGCTGATGATGTAGTTCTTTGTCATCATCTGAGCAAGGACTTCAAAATTGTGTTAATAAATTATTTGAATTTACCATGTTTACAGTAGATTGTAAAATGACCAAAAAAGACCAAGGTTCTTGTATTTAACAAATCAGGACGACATAAAAATATTAAAAGTATCCTTAAAAAACCAGATTTTAGAATGTGTACAGAACTACACATACTTAGGAATAAATTTTTCAGCATCCGGGAGCTTCCAAAAGGCAAAGAAAGAACTTTATAATAAAGGAACGAAAGCTTATTTCAAATTAAGGAAGACCACTTCAGTGGAAAGCCCAAAACATAGTACTTTATTACATATTTATAACCATACAATCCGACCCATCTTGTTGTATGGATCTGAAATTTTGGGTTATATACCATATAAGAAACAAAAACATATAGATAAATTTATATCAGAAGAAACTGATTATCTTGTACTAGAGAAAATCCATACTAAGCTTTGTAAATTTTCACTTGGAGTTAACATAAAAACATCAAACATGGCATGTAGAGGGGAACTAGGTTCACTCCCTACACTTTTTTTTGTAATTATGAATAAATAAAATATTGGATTCATCTTATGAAAGAAATTGAACCTTCAAATATCCTATGGGAGGCCATAAATCTATCCCATCCATGAAGACATCTAGTTCGTTCTTATGTTGTACTGTTACACCACTGTCCCAGGTTAGGGGGAGTGTTGGGATCCCGCTAACATGCTTAACCCCGCCACATTCTGTATGTATGTGCCTGTCCCAAGTCAGGAGCCTGTAATTCAGTGGTTGTCGTTTGTTTATGTGTTACATATTTGTTTTTCGTTCATTTTTTGTACACAAATTAGGCCGTTAGTTTTCTCGTTTGAATTGTTTTACATTGTCATTTCGGGGCCTTTCATAGCTGACTGTGCGGTATGGACTTTGCTCATTGTTGAAGGCTGTACGGTGACCTATAGTTGTTAATTTCTGTGTCATTTGGTCTCTTGTGGAGAGTTGTCTCATTGGCAATCATACCACATCTTTTTTATAACCAGGAATCTTGGATAGGAAACATTAAACATATATTTAAATTCCTTTATTTAGACTATCTATCTGTAAACTAGTCAAAACCATATATTAAAAAAGTAAAAAATTCACTAACAATAAAATTTAAAGAAATTTGGTTAGCTAGTTTAGAAAGCAATTCGGGGAAGAGTACCAATATAAAGTCGTGTAATAAATTAAGAACTTACAGAAAATTTTAAAATATTTTTATATTTGAACCATATTTGACAATAAATTCAAAAAAAGACAGGCAAATAATTACAAGATTTAGAACTAGCTGTCATGACCTTGAAATTGAAAGAGGGAGGTATATTGGTATAAAAGCTGAAGACAGAAAGTGTAAGCTATGTAAGAACGCAGTTGAAGATGAACTACATTTTCTTTTAAAATGTCCTGTTCTTAAAGATACATGATCTCAACATCTGTCTTATTTAAATTCTAAATTCATTTTTTTTTCATTTCAAAGTTATCTGATGAAATGACATTTGTTTGGATTCTTTTATCTGAAGATTTGTTTGTTACTTCAAAATTATCTAAATTATTGCACTCCCTTTTTGAAGAACGAAAGAAACTTCTAGAAAAAATCAATGTAGTTTGAAAAATAGAGAAATGAAAAAAGTCGATCAGAAGTCTATAAATTGATTAAGAAACGTATTTTTCCAGGTCACAGTGGCTTCCAAAATGTCTTAATGTTTTGTCAATGACATGTGAAATGTGTATATTGTATTATTGATGGTGAGACGTTAATAAATTATTATTGTATTGTATTGTATTGTATTGTGTTGACATTGTTTATTATTATGTTACTTTGTTTAAATGTGTATTCGTGTGCTGTCTATCATTTGTTGTTTAGTTTTATATATGTATTGTCTATCATTGTTGTTTCGAAATTATTGGTCTTTTGTTGGGCAATGTATGACAAATATATGTCGAAAAACCTTGCCCGTAATTATAAATTTTGTAATTCATTGACCGCTCCCGACATGTGTAACTTCAATGCATATTTTATCGGCGATTGATGTCTTTCAAAATTACTGCACTTTTCTTGTATCCCGGTGCTTTCGACTGCAGAACCGTCGTACACAAGCATCTCACAAGTTGGCACTGCGAGGCGGGTGGGGAGCAAGAAGGTGAACTTTGGTTTATTTTTATCGATAGTACCGCTTAAGTCGACGCTAGGGGCCGTCTTGACCTTGTTGTAGGGTATGAATGATTGTTGAAGACCCTACATCAACTGTCAAGATGAAGAACAGGAATAAACGCCCTGTTCATTGATAATTTTCTATGT